CTCCCTCTGTCTCCTCGTCCTCCTTGACCTCTCTTCTGCCTTTGATACAGTTGACCACTCTATCCTCCTCCACCGCCTCTCCTTTCACTTCAACCTTTATCGTTCTGTCCTTGTATGGTTCAGATCCTACCTCTCACACCGTCTCCACTTTGTCTCACAAACAGCTTCTCCTCTAGGCCCTGCACTGTCTTGTGAGGTGTTCCTCAGTGTTCTTGGTCCTCTCCTCTCCACCTGTACATGCTCCCTCTTGGTGACAAAATCTGCATCTAACCCAGAGAGCTCAGCAGAGTGAGGACCTGAGTGAGGTGTAACAGTGTGAATTCTGCGCAGGAATTGGGTAAGAGTGGGAATTCGGTGCAGAGGGGAAAGAGGTGCATAATTATTATATATAATATTTATATTAAAATATAATGTATAAAACATATCTGGGAAAATGGCAGGGCACCTGAGACCTGATGCATGAACATGGCGTGCCATGGGGAAACTCTAGGATGCTTTGTGTGCTCTGGACAAACACATGTGTAGGAAGTGCCTCCGGCTGCTCGAGCTTGAGCTCAGGGTTTCTGAATTCAAGCAGAGGCTGGTGTTCATAGCATGTGGGAGGTTGAAGAGTTCATGGATCAAATGTTTCAGGAGGTGGTCACTTCACAGACACAGAGGGTTCAGAAGGAGAGTGAGTGGGTGACCACCCGGCATGGTTGGAAGAGGGGATGGGCAGTGCAGAAATCTTCTGAGAGTGTGGCACTCACAAACCAGTTCTCTGTACCGGTGAGGGTGATGACACCTCTGGGGAGAGGAGTCAAAAGCAAATGGGTGCACAGGGAGATACAGGGAAGAGTATCAATGCAGTTGTCATTGGGGCACAACAGTGAAAGGGGTAGAGAGGCATTTCTGCAACCAAAGATGTGACTCTCGCATAGTATTTTGCCTCCCTGAATGGGTGCAAAACATTCTACAGGGGAACATCCAGAAAGTCATGGTCCATGTTGGGATCCATGACATAAGGAAAAAAGGTCTGAGTTCCTCCAAGGTGAGTATCAGAAGCTAGGGAAAAAGCTAAACAATAGGACCTTAAAGGTAGTAATCTCTAGATTACCCCCAGAGCCTCGTGCAAGTGAATACCAAAACAGCAGGATCAAACACATGAATGCATAGCTGGAGAAATGGTACAGAAAAGAGGGCTTCAGGTTTCTGGAACATTGGGACCAGTTCTGGGGCACTGTACAAGGTGGATGGGTTACACCTAAACAAGGCTAGGACCAATGTCCTCGTAGGGAGGTTAATAACTTGTGCTGTGGTTTAAACTCATTTTGAGGGGGGAAGGGAATCAGGATGTATTATCAGAGAGGAGAAACAAGTTACACAGAGGACTAGGAGAGACAAATAGCAATGCAAAAAGGGGTAGTCCAGAAAAAGGAGGGGTTAGACGGGGGAGAAATGGGGAGCAAACTAAGCCGGTCTTGGAGTACATGTGCATAAATGCACAGAGTGTGACAAATAAGATTGGTGAGCTGCAGCCTCAAGTTGCCACATGGGGTTATGATGTAGTGGGAATGACGGAGACCTGGCTTCAATGAGGACAGGAATGGGAGCTGAATATTTCTGGCTACAATGTATTCAGGAGGGATAGTGAAGGAAAAAAAGGAGGGGCGGGGGGCAATATTGATTAAAGACATAGTTGTGGCCCTAGAAGGTCCAAAACAGAATCTATTTGGTTAGTGTTAAGGAGCAGAAAAGGAGTTGTTACTATGTTAGGTGTATACTACAGACCACAAATAGATTTCAGAAAGATGCAAAACCAATGTAGTGGTGAAAAAGGAGGCTTATGATAAATGTTAGGTCCAAAATACGGAAGATAATCAAATAGAGTATAGAAAGCACAGAGGAGAACTGAAAAAGGAAATAAGAGGAGCAAAAATATTGTATGAGAAAAGATTAGGAGGTAACATAAAAGAGAACCCTAACTTATTTTATAAGCATATAAAAGGTTAGTCAAAGGTAGGTGGGGCCAATTAGGGACCAAAGAGGAAATCTTCTTGTGGAGGCTGATGTACTGAATGAGTACTTTGCATCTCTCTTCACAAAAGAAGAGGATGGAGCCAATGCCACAGTATTGGAGGAGAGGGTAGAGAAATTGGATAGGATAAGAATAAACAGAGAGGAGGTACTAAAAAGATTGTCAGTGCTCAAGGTAGATAAGTCACCCAGTCCAAATGGGACGCATCCTAGATTACTGAGGGAAATAAGGGTGGAAATAGCAGAGGCTCTGTCCACAATCTTTCAATGCTCTTTGGACATTGGGGTGGTGCCAGAGGACTGGGGGGCTGCAAATGTTACTCCTCTGTACAAAAAGGGGCAAAAGGATAAACCCGGAAACTACAGGCCAGTCAGCCTCACGTCAGTAGTGGAAAAACTTCTAGAGACTATAATCTGGGACAAAATAAACTTTCACTTAGAAAAATATGGGTTAATAAAGGACAGCCAACACAGAGTTGTTAGAGGCAAACCGTGACTAACAAACCTGATAAGAGTTTTTTGATGAAGTAATGAAGTGTATGGATGAAGGTAGTGCAGTTGATGTAGTTTATACGGATTTTTAAAAGGCGTTTGATACAGTGCCACATAAGAGACTTGTAAGCAAAATAGAAGCCCACGGTATTAAAGGGACAGTGGCAGCATGGATACAGAACTGCCTGGGAGACAGAAAGCAGAGATTGGTGGTGAAGTGTGCAGTGGTGATTCCCAGGGGTTGGTATTGGGACCAATGCTCTTTTTGATCTATATAAATGACCTGGACTTGGGTATAGGGAGTACAATTTCCAAGCTTGCAGATGATACTAAGCTAGGAAAAATAGTAAACCATGAGGAGGATATTAGCAGACTGCAAGAGGACATAGACAGATTGGTAAAATGGGCAGACAGGTGGCAGATGAAGTTTAAAGTGGAGAAATGCAAAGTGATGCATTTTGGGAGGAAGAATGAGGAGAGGCCATATAAGATGGTACAATCTTAAAGGGGGCGAAGAACAGAGAGAACTGGGGGTTCATATAAGTAAATCTTTGACCTGGCAGGACACGTAGATAAAGCTGTTAAAAAAAACATACGGGATTCTAGGCTTTATAAATAGGGTCAGACATCAAGTCCTGGATGAGAGCTAACTTTCTACAGTTGAATGTAAATAAGACCGAGGCTCTCCTGATTGGCACCCGTCAGCGCCTCCTCACCCCAGGCACTGACAGTGTCACCATCCAGGGATGCACACTCCATCTCACTGAGCCAGTCAGGAACTTAGGCATCTTGTTTGACCCTCAACAGTCCTTTCTCTCCCACATCCATGCCATAACCGGCTCTGCCTTCCCCCAGCTCTGCAACATCACCCGGCTCCACCACTGCCTCACCCCTCAGGCTGCCGAACCCCTCATCCAAGCATTCATCACAACTAGGCTCGACTACACTGACTTCCTCCTTGTCGGCCTTCCCAACTTTTCCCTCCACAAGCTACAGATTATCCAGAACTCTGCAGCTCATGTATTCTCCTGCACCAGGCTTCGTGACCCCATCACCCCAACCCTCACCAGACTCCACTAACTCCCCATCCCTCAGAGGATCCAATTCAAATCCTTGCTTTCACAGCCCTCTATGGCCTTGCCCCCTCCTACCACTATGACCTACTAACCCCTTATCGACTTGTCCGCTCCCTCTGCTCAGCAGACCCCGGCCTGCTCCACGTCCCCTGCTCAGCCCACCCTTTGGAACTCCAGCCCACCGTCGCTTTGCCTCGCTTCAAGGCACGTCTCAAAACCCTCCTCTTTGTCTGTGCCTACGGGCACCCTCCTGCCCTCAACACTCCCTTATCCCAACACCCCCTGTTCGTGTCCAAATCCCTGACTGTCCAGCACCTTGGGACGTCCTCCCGAAGTGAAAGGCGCGATACAAATGTAATATTGTATTGTATGTGGAAGCAAGCTATGTGGTTTTAGATGGATAGACTCCAGCAGTACCCCAACGTGTACACTCTGGCGTCCCCAAGCCTTGGCATGGGAGAGTGCACAGCTTGAATTCCAACAATCTATCTCTGGAATTTCTATATGTGAAGGTGGGATGCATGCAAACCTCAGTTTGGTTTGATACTCTAACCACTATGCTACAGTGGAGTCCTGTAGCATTGTGGTTAGCATGCTTGCCTTGCAAGCAAGAGGAGCCGGGTTTGATTCTCGGGCGGGGTGAAACCTTAGGCAAGTTTCCTTATTCCTAACACCTCTGTTTACCTAGCACTAAGTAGGAACCTGGTTGTTAGTCAATTGGCAGATCGCTTTCTGGGGTAATAGTCCCTCCGGAAAAGAATGTGGACACTTAATCCACGACTGCTTGCGGGACACTGCTGTGCGCATGAGAGAGAACTGGGTTCAATTCCCGGCAGGGCGAAACCTTGGGCAAATTTCCTTACTCCACACGCCTGATAATAATCCCTCAAGAAAAAAACCAATAATAAATTGGTCACTTCAATCCACGACTGTTTGTGGGATACTGCTGTGCGCAATTGGCTGCCGCGTTTTTCCCACAAATATACAGTCAATTCACTTTACAGTCTATTCTGTGAAGCACTTTGAGACGTCGAGAAGACGTGAAAAGCGCTATATCAAATGCAAGGATGATTATTATTATTAGTCTGCCGCGTTTCGCCCACAAAATACACAGTCAAATCCACTTTACAGTATATTCCGCGAAGCGCTTTGAGACGATGAATGGGGGCGCTATATGAAATGCAAAGATTATTATTGAGATTGGTGACGGGGGGGGGGGGGGGGGGGGGTTCCGAATAAGTCAGACAGACTCAGATGGAGGCATCCAGCGCACATGGGGTTAACAGAAAGTTACACTGCTTCTGCACAACCTGAGCAGATCCTGTGTGAAGCTCTCACTCAGATCCTGAGGCTGCCTCACACTCTGTGTGTGTGCGAGAGAGAGAGAGAGAGCGAGACAGAGACTCACACACTCTGGCACAGGCGGACGGGTCTGAGCTGATATTTAATTCACGATCCCTTCGGATCACAGCTACATTCAACGACAACAAAAAACACAGCAAAATTGCAAGAAACTCGCTGGGCAATTCATTCTTCCGGCCGATTGGAAAGAGACCACGTTTGGTGGCTGGTTGGTTGGTGTGTTGGTGATCGCAGCTACAAGTCCTCTTCATTCTCGGATCTGATCAGTGAAATTCCTCCCTGGGCTCCTCTGCTCTCCACATCTCCTGGTGAGGGATGCCTCTTCACTGCTAGACTTCACTGGATCCCGAGACAGTCAATGGAAGTTTGTGCAGGTGCAGTGTTTCATATATATCTATAATATATCATATATATCTGTACACGGTGTATTGATATTACCATCGATAGTGTATCTGTAGGGCTGATTTCTTGACGATGTGAGCAGATACTGTGCAGTGTTTCTGTTGTATATATTTGTATGTTGATATTATCATTAATAATGTACTGGATCCCTAGGGCTGATTTCACAGCAAAGTAACCAACATGAAAGAGGTTTATTCATTAATTTTTATATGACAATCTGGGTCTGGATAAAATTGAATGAGTTTATGGTCTACAGAGATAAGAGATCTCTCTCTCTACTTCTCTTTTCTCTCTGAAGCTATAGATTTGCCTATGACAATCTAACATGGTTCTGTTTAATATGAACAAGCTGATTCTTTTCTCTCTTTTTTTGTTTCTTTCTATATAAATGCAAGTTGTTGTGGTTTCTTTACATTATCCAGTGTGTAAAACAATAGTGTTTTTTTGTGTGAATAAATCTGGGACACGTGTGGGTTTTGTTGAGAAGGTGATGAACAGATAGGCGTTGTCTTTTCAAACAAAATTATGTGGAAATAAGATGAAACAGTGGATGATTTGCAACATCCTTGGCGTGTTAATGTTTCTCACAGAACAGATCTGAGAGCTACTTCGCTTATCTTTTTGAGGCAGCCTTGGCTGCAATCTAGTTTCACGTTGTACTTTCAAATACAGAAACCAGCTGCATTTCACACCCGTCTTTCAGTGCCTTGTGCTGGGGCGCATGTGGACAGCTGGGTCCTTCCTCTCTCTGGCAGAACAATTAAGTTTAACCGTCTCCCCTCCTGCTTATTATAATATATTACAGATAATAATCCTTGCATTTGATATAGGGCCTTTGAGACGTCTCAAAGCGCTTCACAGAATATACTGTGAAATGAATGGACTGTATATTGTGGGCGAAACGCGGCAGCCAGTTGCACACAACAGTGTCCCACAAACAGTCGTGGACATATAAAGTTATATATAAAACAATTCCTTGGATTCGAAACACAAATCTTTCAAGTTGGGAGCGCGTCTGAAAGTGCTTCACAGGATTTTACTGTCAAATGCGGTGGCTGTGTGTTCTGTAGGTGAATGCGGCAGCCGATTAAATGAATGATCATTGTTTCTTAATCTGCGAGAATTGTTGTTAGCCAGGACTCCTGAGAGAAACTTGCCTTTCCTTCTGAATAGGGTTTTTAAGGACGACCTGAACAGGCAGACGGGACCTTGGTTTCATGTCTCATCCAAAGGGTGGACGATGAGCACATAGGGAGTCTATCTTGCTATGGGGTAGATAGCAAACGCTATTTACAACTATTGTTTTGCTGCCCACGTTTCAATAATCACAAAACGGTGCATTGTGACTTCCAGAACCGGTCAAAGTGCGAGTGAAATGGGTTCTCCAAGTTCACAATCCTCACACTGGTCTAAAAATCCCTTCAGCCCTGGCACCTCTCTAACTCTGCGACTTGCTTACTCCCCACTCCGCCACCCTCTGCTTCGCTGGCTATGGCCTCCTGCATGGCCGTCATTGGCTCTGCTCAACCATGTGCTTTCAGCCACTACACCCCGAAATTTTGGAACTCTCTTCCTCAATCTGTCCTTCCCCATTTTCAGATCACACCTGAAGACGTTCCTCTTTGTTTGTGCTGACGGTCACCTCACCCCTCCTCCCAGCTCAGTGACAGGCTCCGCCACTGTTAAAAGCTCTGGAATGCTACCCCGTGTGAAGGGTGCTGTATCAATGCAAGTTGTTGTTGATGTTGTTGCACTTTGTCCCATTTTGTAAATCACAATTACAAATTTTGGCATCATTACTACAAATTAGATGGAAAAAGGTGTCGGCTTGACTCAGTTGGTAGCACTCTTGCCTCAAAGAGTTAGAAGCTTGTGGGATCAAGCTTCACAGACTAGGTTAACTCTCCAATGCAAGACCATCCTCTTCGACCATGCCTTCAGTCATCTTCCCACACCCACCCTCCCCACCCTCCACCTGTCTCTGATTCCAAACCCCAGCTTGGGTGCAGGCCCTTCACTGTCAGCATCTTGGGACGTCCTCTGACATGAAAGGCGCTGTATAAATGCAAGTTGTTGTTGTAGCAGGTGCTGCGTTATTAGAGGTACTGTCCTTAGGATGAGATGTTAAAACTAGGTCCCAACTACCTGTTCAGGTGGATGTTAAACGTTCCCATGGCTTTGCTCGAAAAGAGAAGCGAGTTTCTCATAGTATTTTGACGAACAGTCACCCAAGCAAAGTTGGTCATTCACTTCAAAGTTGTCTGTGGGTTATTGCTGTAACAAATTAGCTGCTGTGTTCACTTATAAAAGTGGTGTTCATGAAGCGAGTGCTCTAACCACTCGTGGAGTTCTGTAGCGTAGTTATTAGCGCACTCGTCTCGCAATTGAGAAGACCTGGGTTTGATTCCCAGCAGGGTTAGTTTCCTTACTCTACAAGCCTCTGTTTATCTAGTAATAAGTAGGAACCTGGTAGTTAGTTGATTGGTGGATCGTTTTCCACGGATAATAATCCCACCTCTCCAAAAAATAAATTTGGACACTCAATCCACGACAGTTTGTGAGACACTGCTGTGCACAATTTACTACCATGTTTCACCCCGAAAATACGCAGTCAATTCACTTTAGAATGTATTATGTGAAGCTTTTTGAGAAGTCTCAACAATTTGATGAGTTCCTATATCAACACAAGGTTTATTATTATTATATTATTATAAATCTGCTTCAATCGCGCTTTTTGTCATCTTTCCCCTCCCCAGCTTGGGTGCCAAGCCCCTTGGGATGAGACATTAAAACGTTAAAATGTGCATTACCTCGGGACATCTTCCCACGTGAAAGGTGCTGCATCAAATGCAGGGGCTGTGAAATGTAAGGACTTTGGAATGCGCACAATGGCTTCTGCATTTCTGCCTTCAAAAATAGACACTGCAATTAACAACAACTGCTATAAAAAGTGCTGCAAAACACTAATGTTATCAGGAAGCTTTGCAAGAACCTGAGCTGTTGGCCCACTGAAATGTCCCTATTTAAACTGCGGACAGAATTCACAGAACTGGCAACAATGCAGTTATTTCTGGCTACTGTCAGTGTTTGAGGTTGATAAAATGAGAATCTTGTATTCCAAATTTTTGTCTGTGTGTGTGTCAAGCGCTCCGAGACAATGCCCCGGGTGAAGGGCCCTATTTAAATGCAAGTTGTTGTTATCATTGTTGTTATGTGTGTTTGGAAGTGGGAGGAAGAACAGAGATTTCCATGTATCCCACCTACACTTGGAAATCCCGGAGATAAATTGTTGGAATGGAATGAGCACTCTCTTTCCCACTGCTGGATAGTGCTATCAATGACAAGCTGGTTAAAAATCAGCTAAAACCAGCACTACTCAAAAACAGAAGGGAGCTTCTCCCGTGCCATGGCCAACAATTCCCCAGATAACACTGCACATTCACTCAGTGGTATTACATTGCTGTGTGCAACTTGGCTGTCATGTTTGTCCACAAAAGCACAGTCAATCCACTTACATATTAAAATATTACATAGTCAATCCAAAACCAAAAACAATAATAAATTGGTAATTTTCAATCTACGACTGTTTGTGGGACATTGCTGTGCGCAATTGGCTGCCGCGTTCGCCCACAAATATACAGTCAATTCACTTTACAGTGTGTTCTGTGAAGCGCTTTGGGACGTCCTCCCGACGTGAAAAGCGCTATATCAAATGCAAGGATTATTATTATTATTATTATTATATATCCTGTGAAGTGCTTTGAGAAATCCTCCAGACATGAAAGGCGCTTTTATCAAATGTAACAATAACAACTTGCATTTATATTTACACTCTTCATGTAGGATAATGTCTTGGGGCATTGTACAATGTTGGGGTTGGACGGGGAGCAAGGGGAAAGGATGGGAGAAGGATGAGAGGGAGATGACCATAGGCACGGATGAAGAGGTAGATCTTAAGGAGGGATTTAAAGATGGATGAAGAGGGGCTGAGGCGGAGGGATTGAGGCAGGAAGTTACAGAGATCAGGACCATAGTGGCTGAAGGCTTGGCCACTGAAGGAGAGAGATCGGGAGGGCACAGCAGGCCTGTGTTAGCTGAGCGAAGGGCGGACAGATAGGTGGGGTACAAACAGGTCAGGGAGGTAGGCAAGTGTAGCACATGAAGCAATTCGTATGAAAGGGTGAAGAGCTTAAGGCTGATGCATTCAGGAGACAGGGAACCTGCGAGGTGGGGTGATGTGCATGCGGGGATGTTTCAGGATATGAGTGAGGAGTTTTGTATTAGTTGGACCTGGTGGATGGTGGACCTGGGAGAACTTAGAAAAATGTAAGGATTCTAATTAGAAGTGACTGTTTTGTGGGTGAACACAGCAGTGTCATGCAAACAGCCATGAAGTGAATGATAAATTTTACCTGGGGGATTGTTGGCCCAGGACCCCGGGAGAACCTCCCTTCTCTTTTTGAGCAGTAACATGGGATCTTTAACATTCACTGGAACAGGCAGGTGAGACCTCAGTTTGACTTCTCACCTCACCTGAAGGACAGCACCTCCGTCTATACAGCGCTCCCCCTTCAGGTAGGCAGGAAATTTCTTCTGTGACATTTGGAACAGATAACATCCTAAGCTTGATGAGTTGGTTTTATTGATGCAGTGTTTCGATGAAAGGCGATATACAAATGTAATTTTATTGCTGTTGTTGGAAGCATTAATAACATTATTTGCATATGTATGTAAGTGATTGCAGTTGGACTCTGGAATTTCCTGCTCCATTGCATTTACAGCATATTTCAGCCTTAGGATTGTCCGTGCTTGATGATGGTTTATCAATTGCTTTAAGTGAGCGTCACGGAAATAAACCTGTTTTGCTTGCTGACTGTTTGGGGATTTGCCAGGATATAAAAAAAGATTGAAGTATTTTGCTGCTGCAATTGAAGCTCCTTTTCAGTTCCTGGATGTTTCAGGAACTTGGGCT